TAATAAGCGTTTCCTCCTCATCTCTAGACCCATATATTTCTACATTAACCTGACTTTTTTTTCTCTGCCCAGAGGGTCCATGCCTTGTCCACACCATCACAGGGGACCTCCTCCGGGCCCTGGAGGGGCCAGAGCTCTGCCTGCATCCCCGCCTCATCTCAGTGTCCAGCGAAGGCCACTGCATCATTTACTATGAGAGAGGTCACTTCTGCAATTTCAGCATAAATGGAAAACTGCTGGCACAGATGGAGGTCAATGACTCCTCACGGGTAAGTCACTCAAACTGACTGCTCCTTCACCCCAGGTTAACACTGGATCAACAATGCTGTTTCCCGGTGTCTGGAGCTCTGGAGTTTTCCAGCCCGTTTCGACATTCTTCCTGTTTTCCCCCCAGGCAATCCTGTTGAGCAGCGATGGACAGAACCTGGTGACAGGAGGAGATAACGGAGTGGTGGAAGTGTGGCAGGCGTGTGACTTTAAACAGCTTTACATCTACCCAGGGTGTGACGCTGGCATCCGTGCCATGGACCTGTCACATGACCAGAGGTAAAACTAATAGACAGACGTTAGCATTGATATGGTGACAGTTTGTAAACAGCAACAATGGTCAGTGTGATTTCTTTAATTAATCTTTACTCGTGATTAGAGTAAGACTATTTAAACAGATAATTTAAAAAACAAAGTATGGCTCGCAGACAGCATATGGTCCAATTTGTTTTTTTAACCCAGCCCTTTAAATATTATCGTAAATAATTGAAATTATTTAGCTTTTTGACATCACTAGATGGCGCATTCCAGACAAAGTATTGGCATTTTTGCATCCACTACTGCACTACTGTGACTGACACCTTAATGCATTTGAGTCATAAAGTTTAGCTAACATCGGACATTTCAGTCAGAGTTATTACAAATATGGTACAATTAAAGCTAAAAATGTACTAATGATAAAAAGCTCGTAAATCAACTTTTAAAGTTAAAGAAAAACCCTAAATTAAAATGTGTCAATAGTGTTAAGCTGTATGAAAGCTCAAGCTAATTAAGCACTAGAAAAGTTCAGAAAGATAATCAGATAATGTCCTCCACCTTATTGAATTAAAGGCACAGTTCACATTACCCATGTAACTGTTTGCCGCGCTTCTTTGCAGGACACTGATCACCGGCATGGCATCTGGAAGCATTGTTGCATTTAACATAGACTTCAACCGCTGGCACTACGAACACCAGAACAGATACTGAGGAGGACTGCCTGAGGAAGAGGAGGACTGAGAGAAGAAAAGAGCGGGGGGGAAGACGACGACGCGTTCTTCTGTGTATCTGCAGCAGGTACTGAGAGGAACGAGAAGTACCGAATCTTAGGTTCTATTCTGTTAAGATGTTCACTAGATTTGAGGATGCAGCAGTGCTGCGGGAAAATCACCGCCTCTACAGACACATAACACCCCCAAGAACCAGACAAAACCTGCTTTTAGAATAGACAGACAGCAGAATGGGAAAAAAGCAAGTCAGGCAGACCTTATATAGAGGTCCATCATAACTCGTACCACTGCAGGACTGGGGCAGTTGCTGTTAATGGTACGCTTAAAGCTTCACGGCTTCAACCTTGATTTTCTCTTCCTTACCTTGTTTAATTTATTTTCTTGTATACTGAAGAGTTAGGGTTCGTTCTAGCGCCGACATGGGTGGGCTATGAATTCAGACTCCCGTAATGTGACTAAATTATTAAGAAATTGTCCGAATTGAACGAGCCCTTCCCATAACTTAGAGCCTGGTGCTATTGGCTTGATCCGAAATTGACCTTTGAAAAAAAAAAAAACGCCTTTGGTATGATTTTATCTTAGTGATAAAGTTTGATTTTTTTTTTTTTTTATTTGACTTTTTTCTGTTCTCCAAAACAGGTTACATTTTTTTATGAGATTTTGCTTCCATCATGGTCTTCATTCTTTCCTTTCACTTTTAATTTATTATTATTGACTTGGCGTATGTAAAATAATGTGTAATAATTATTATAATGTCTACAAGGCTGATGGTAATAATGGCAGTGTCATGGATGGTAATTGTTCTGCCAGAGATGGTAAAGATAGGTCTAAAGAACCGGTGCCACCGTGGACGACAACCACAAGACTGACATGATTTTTCTTTGTATATTTGGTGATTGTTTTGTCAAATATGTACATATAGTCTCTGTTCAGGCTCGACGGGCGACTTTAATCAGCTGAATAAGACTGAGACCGCAACGGAAAACCTTCACTTACCCACGTTTGTTAATTATTTAAAAAAGAGAATCAAATTAATGTAAAAGTTTGTTTTGTATTTGCACTTTGCACCAATCACATATCATTATTTATTCGCTTGGTTCTTTCTGGTCAGCTGCCATTTGGTTTAGGTCCCTTTTTTCCCACCCCGGACGGGGTTATTTGTGCATTGATGTTTGTATTTAAAATGTTGAGCTCATGTGTGATTATTAAGTTTTACAACCTCACCGTTGTAAGCAATATCATGATTCTGTAGCTGATAGAGGTGGGACGCCCGGGGGAGGGCGACGGGGGTGAAGTGGTGAGACGTTACGTATGTGTGAAGCCATCTTGATCAAATCCGCACATGCACATACTCTATCGACAGGTTCAACTTACGTATCCAAAAAAAAAAGGTTAAATATTTTTGGATCTATGAAACCCTTAAAAAAACTATTGTATTCATGTTTTATTGCAAAGATGTAAAATATGACATGTGTGAGTTGAAGAAAAATCATGATAAGAAAAATAAAATATGCAAAGAATTTCATGACTTGACTTTTCTTTTGTTACATGTGGTTCTTTCACCTTTCTCACATTTTTACTTCGGTCTGACCAACATTTATTTTAAATCATTGCTACTTTTAATGTAATGTGACTAACAGTGGTTCTTAACTGAGAAAGTCTGTGGATTAATAATTTATTCAAGTCTTCTGTTATATATAGATGTGTATTTAATCCACATGTAGTACCTCAGCCAACCAGTAGAGTTCAGAGCATTTTAGATAAAACTCCTAATTTCCTCCAGTCACACCCAGGAAGTGATTACAGGGACACCTGTCAGGCCACGCCCCTTCAACACAGGAGTCAAGATGGCCGCCAGCTGGGTTAACTGTAAGTAGATGTTTTTTTGTTTAGTTTCTTTGTTAAAAACATTCACTGCACTTCACCTCTTTGTTCTATAACTTAAGTCACACTGTGTATCTTTTGTCACATGTGAAGCATGTAGAAAGCAGGAGGTAAACGTTACTTTTCAAGACTTTAAAATGCTTACACTGTTAGCTCATGACTTAAACAGTTTGGAACTAGCATGAAGACAACAACAACAACAAGAATGTTGCTGTTTGGACAGTACCTAAGACCCAGTTTTAATGAAACTGTATTCCTATGTTGCTTTGCTAAGTAGAAAATGCATTTGATAACTGGGTTTTAACAGGAAACAAGCAAAATGTTACTTACATTTAACTTAATGTATTTTACAAGGAAATATTTTCCGTTAAACAAAAGTTTCAGTGGGAACATTGTTCGAGAGTTAGGCTTGTTGTGGTTGTTAGAGTGTGACTGGACAAAAACCAAATTGTCAAAACTGTGGGACACACTTCTGAGGCACAACCTATTGTTTTAGAACCTGCCCTGATTGAGGTTTATGATCATTTGGCGTGGTTTTACAGACAAATCCATAATCAACACACACAACTGGTTCTGAATGTGTCACATTTCAATGCCACTGCCACACAAAAACATCTCACAGTATTTTATTTAAATTAACTTTGAGCACAACAGTACATGACAGCGGCTTGACCTTGGAATACAACCCGAATTCTGACAGCGGCTCAGAGCTGCCATGCTTCACTCACTGTGGAGGCAGCCATCAGAGCTGACAGGCAGGAGAAGGTAATCCGTTACGCTGGCAGGGGCTGTCTTTCAGGAGCAGGATTTAATCTTGTAGCATCTGACACTTTTGACCTTGCCTGAGTGCTGCTGCCGTCACCGGCTGTTCCTGTCTCACCTTCGGTTCCACATCGCCGTGTCTGCCTTTTCCCGTATGAAAACCTATCCCCACATCATCTTAGATGTCGGCAGCAGGTTTGGTTTTCACACGCTTCTCAGAAAAGGGCATGCATTTCTGTAAGAGGTGATGATCGTCAGGGTTATAAAGCATGCTGTTCATTTAGCAGGCAAGTCAAAAGGTCAGAAGACAAAAGATACTGTTAATAAATATTTCTGATTTAGAAAAATTAAATTTCTCCAGCTTCTCAAACAGCTGAACAATTAAAAAAATTAAATTGGAGCAAAAATTAAATTGGAGCAAACATTACAATTTTAACCAAACTTTAATGAAAGCCTGTTTAAAAAAAATACAGTAATTTTGCCAAGGCTCCATCTGAGTTTTTTCCTCCATTAAATTTAAAAGAAGATTCAATAAAAACACAACCTCAGCTCATAGTCAAGGCAAAGAAGCAGTTTGAGACATTGACATTGTTAATGACGTCCCCTAGAATTCTACATGGAAGAAATTCTTTGATTGAAAATGCTTGCAGGGCTGTTTAGATTAATGGTGGTTTTATTGTCATATATACATATTTTTTTCCAATTTGTGTTGAAATAATTTGACCAAAATCTTTGGGAGAATTTTGTATTTAGTATTATTTTTTTCATAGATCATACATACAATAGGCATGGGACATAACTACAGAATGTTCCACTGGTTTCAGGTAGAGTAAACTATGTACTGTACTAACCAGGGAGGTGTATGGAAAAATACGTTTTAAATTCTTTATTATGTAAAGTAAAACACTATTTAAAGTAAAATGAAAAAAGTAAATTAGACAGGATTTATTTTTTTACTCTACCTATTGTCCTTTAATTTGTGCTGTGAATTTCACAATATACAGGTTCTGTTGAAAATACCAAAGACCTAAGACTCACGGACCATAAATACATATTTCCAAGGTTTGAAAAGTGTTCCCATAGTTTTGTGCAGTTTTCATCAAAGTATTGTAATAATGTCACACTACTGCGTGGATGAACCCCCCCACCCCACAAGACTGATTGTTTTCTTCATTAGTGGTTATAGATTGTCAATTTAAGGCAGCTGCTTATCTTTCTACTCAGCTTCACAGTCTGTGTGTGTTGGTGTGTTTGTGTGTGATCGTCATAGAGTATATATTTACAGTAAATCCTCAGTTGAGACCTTTACAGTTGTTACTTCTACAGTTGTGCTTATGTATTTGGCAACATTTTTTGGCCATTTTTTGAACAGTGGCTTCATGCAGTCAAGGTAACGCTGTATAAAAATATCTAATCAACCCTTAACATTGTGTGGGATGAAGCTTCAAGCTTCAGTTTTCCTTAATATTAAGGTTTTTTTAAGGACTTCACAGTTTAAGACTAGTTACCTTCTATTGTAAACATGGTACATTACACAGGAGACATAGATCTTTTTTCTCTCAAATGCCACAATGTGGAGCTGTGGAGCCTATCTGACCTCACATACAGTATGTTCATGATTGCCTGCCCAACATGTCCTTAAGTCCACGTGATCCAGATCATTTATGTCTCTCAGGTGGACAGTGTGGAGATAGTGGACCTCTGAGAGGAGATGCTACAAATCTCCATGTTGGTGAAGGAGCTTCCTCCTTCGCTGCTGAAGTCGGGGACAGAGGAGGAGGAGGAGATGATGTTCTTCAGCCTGTGGAGGGAGATGATGAGCAGTGTCAGCAGAAACACCAGCAGGCCGAGGAAGAGCCAGACGTAGACGTAGACATTGCCAGTACGCCCTGGTGAGGATGCGGCGGCAGAGGTGGAGGAGGACGTCGGGGAGAAACGTAAGAAGGTCTCATTATCAGCTGGAGACAATCCAGTGTCATTATGGTCCACCAGGGAAATGTCCATCACAGACATTCTGAATGATGCTCTGTAAGATAACGAAAACCAAGTCAACCCAAGACCTGGAAGAAAGCATAATAATAATAATAATAATAATAATAGACATTTGCTGCTGAATTTAATTTTGAGCCATTGTGACTGACTGACCAAGCTGAGCTGAGCAACAGCAACAGCAGGGGGAGTGCTTGCCTCACTGAAGCTCTGCCTGGTTTGGCACCAGCGGCTTGTTTGCGCATCAGAATGTGATGAAATCCCACTCTTCATTATCATCTCAAATGATAAAAACAGTTTCAAATTATTAATAGACCACGAAGGTGACTGTGAATACAGAACCAGTCTCTGTTCATTCACAGCCCTGAATGTGGGAGCGTGACAGTGACAGTATGAGGAGAGAGAGAAGCTCTTCAGTATTTCACTCAGGTCAGACTGGTGTCTTGACTTGATCAGTCACAGAGAAGATAGGACACTTCAAAGAGAGAAATAATTGACCATGACCAGAATGAAAGAAAGAGGTCAGAACACACACACACACACACACACGTGCAGATGGAGTCCAGACCTCACAGTTCTGTCTTCTCACCTGCCTGCCACTCTGTCCAGTGTGTGGTTATGCATTACACATGCGTGTGTGCACTTGGCTGATCACTTTACATTCATAGGGAACCAACAAACTCTAAGCCACACACTTTGAGCCTATAATTTTGGCCTGTGAAATATGTAGAAATAGCTTGAAAAAAATTGAGGATTTGGTTACGGTCTGTGGTAATGCACGACTGATGAATTTAGGTTACTGCTTAACTTATGATTGGCAAGGCATTGCAGGTTAACCTAGACCAGGTGTGGGCGAACCTTTTGACTGGCAGGCCACAGTGGGTCCTAAAATGGGGGGCAGGGTCAGGAGCAGATAGATGGAGGGTTCATGTGAACAAAGATAAATGATATGTAGAAGGATAAAATGCTAAAAATGCTATTTGTTTTTTCTATGCCACCTATTGGGCAAATGTGGGCATTGCAGGGGAAGGCAAACCTATAATGATAATATAAATTGATAATATAATTTGGACAAGTTTGGCGGGCTGGATTAAAAAGCCAAAGAGGCCACATCCAGCCCTCGGGGCATAGTTTGCCCATGCCTGACCTTAAACCTACTGAATAGCAGACAAGAATCCAACCACTTCTCCACCGTCACCTTCTGAACCATTGATCTTACAGTCAGTTATTTGTCCAGTCCTTCAAAAAACAAAACAAAACTGACAACGGTTTCATTTGTTTTAAATTGAAGTCATTATAGTGATTTTTTTTGCGACAGGCCTGCACCAGTGAGACTCTATCAATTCTCATGACTGGACCAAAACAAACATTATTGTTCTGGAACTCTTGCCTTGCTGCTCTGTCACTGAACTACTTTGTGCTGAGCTCTAAATTAGTTTCCCTCTGGATAGTGCTGCTCACAACAACTTTGCTCTGTCTAATTTACAGCTTACTGCTCCTTCAGGTCCACACGCAGCGTAATGAGGAGCAACGACTTACTGTAGTCCTGACTCTGTGTGACTCTATATTCTGCTGTCCAACCTGTTTTCTCTTGCAGGTGATTCAGATGTTTACATTTTACTTTTAGAGCTGGCTTACTGGATTACTTTTTTTTTTTTAGCTGTAACAAGTTATTTATTTCTTTATGCTTTGCACAAATTAGCTTTTTAAAGCTACAGTCCCTTTACCCTGTACTACGTCTCAGTGAATAATGTCAATGAATAATTATGAAAAATGGGGAAACACAAGTACCAATGACTGTACTAATACCTGCCACCTGTATTTGAATGTAGTATCGGGCCTGATACTGCATTCAAATACAGTACTCACTCGTACCCAAAAACTGTTCCAAACCAGCTCGTTAGTGTCCCCTAATGGCGTTTAATCGCATCCAGCTGTGCATCGTTAAGCCACTGTCAATTGCTATGTATGACATGCGCTAACAGCTCTGTTCAGGTGGCTGTGTTACCTTTGCAGAAAGGTAAGCCTTTCAATTCTGACTGTAAATGGCTGTAAGTATTTTTTTTTGGCGTGTATTGGTACTGGTACTCAATAACAGCTAGTAGACAAGCACTGAAGTACTGCGGTTTTATAAATAATCAACGTTGCAGTAATTACATATAATTCTGATTCCATCACCTCGACTTATTGTGTTCCCCGTCCACTTGCCCATTACTTACATACGGACATTTGCATTGAGCCCACATGTAATTACATGTAACCTGTAAACAGGGATGTATGAGTGTTAAGTGGGCGCTCACTTCACACCCACACGTACCAACACTGTACATTAACCATGTTTACCTTGTGCTTGCTCAGAATTGTCAACCATGGGTTTTGCTTGTCAAAAGAAGAAGCTTCATCTTCATCTCACAGATTATCTCTCTCTCATCTCGTCTTCTCATCGCTCTCCTTAATGATGTGTTGTTTTGAGATCTTTTAAGAGAGCGTTCATTGTGAGCAGAACAGGCTAATAATTGTGCTTAATGATGCTTTTTGTATCCAGGCAACGTGGTACATTTGGTTCATTTTTTTTTTTCACCAGCTAATCTACTTGAAAAGGCCAGGCCGTGCTGCCCCACTGAGGCTGAAGAGGTCAGACGTACGCATCCACTCCCACGGCCACCTACGGATCATAAATACCATTTCTTCAAGGAGAGCTGTGAGTATAATACAGAGAGCATGGAGGAAAGGGGAAGGGCTGTGCATCTTTATGAAGGCAAATTATTTTTAAGAAATTTAATATTTGTCTTTTTTCAGCTGAAAAATGTCTCTTGGACGTGTTTCAATTATGTAGTAAGTAAAAAAACAATTTAAGTCTTTTACTCTATGACTGAAATTGATTAATTTGTACTACATTTACATGTTCACACTATCTTTCAAATAATTTAGTTTAATAATTTTAATTTACTTTGTCTTTCATTCAGCCTGTTCTTATAATTTAACTCATATTTGGCAATTTTTCAGCTAGTCTTAACGTCTCAACATGATAATTAGCATCCTGTGCCTCTTTGTCTAACTTCTGCTGGTTGCTTTTAAGCTCCCAGTTTGATGGCTTTGGTAAGATGGATGCAAATACCATCATTATGAAACATGATCCAAAACAACCGGAGTGAAAGAATCTTGTACTGAAAGCCGGAGGAGTCGAGTCATGAGACAAAGCCTTCGTTTGCTAAGACTTGTCAGGCTGTACGTCTGTATTTGGACCAGTATGTCCTGCAGCAGTATGTTGTCATCCTCACTGCTTCCTCTTGTCCTGATTGATTGAGCCGCTGTAATTCACTCGACAAAATATCTTCTCTGCTGATGATGCAGCATGTTGAGCCACAAACTCCTCCTGAGACTCTGTGCTCCAGGGCTTCTCCTGCTCCTCTTTCCCGGTCTGTTCACACCATCCCTCTTGCTTCTTTGCCACTGTTTTTAGTTGCATTTAAAATGCGCTTGATCTGTTGTTTATATGTACGTCCAGCTTATTGACGATGAGTCACGAATAATCAAGTTTCCAGCCTGGTTCTGAGAAAAACTGTGTACTTCATAAATAATGGACAAGATCCATGTGACGTGAAATGTCATGGCATTTGGGTCTTGGTGTGTGTGGGGGTGCGTGTGGACACTTTGTTTCTGGGGACATGATGCAGGTCCCCACTAAAGTAGAGGACATTGAAGACCAATACGTAGTTTAAGGCTAGGATAAGGATTATGGAAATATTTTGGTTGGATGAGGTTAAGGGAGGTTTTATTCTGCATTTCTAAAAATGCAAAATGTGTAAATAATGTTGTTAAAAACCTTAAATTCCTCTATTAAAAAGCTTCCAAATATCCAGTATATACCAAAGTATATGTAACCTTAACATTTAAATTAAGGTTTTATAAGGTTTTCTTATACGTTTAGTGTAAGAACTGTGTTGGCTGTTTGATCTGTCACTTGTGAAAACATCATGGGCAAAAACAAAACAACTGTGTTTAGACTGAAGAAAAGGAATTGCTGATGCTCAACAAGCTGGTGAGGCTTATCAAACATTCAAAAGAAGTCAAGAAGTGGAGTGAGAAGTATTTTTATGCAGTTCAAAAAGATTCAAGACTTAGTCTTTAAACTACTGAAGTATGCATCTGAAGACCTTCGAGTAACCAAGATGTTAGCGAAAGACTACAGACAAACTCCTTCTCTGAAATTAACCCGTCCAAGTTTGATTAAAGTTGGCTGAGGACAAGCTTTTAGTTTGAATTTACTCACAATTTACACTCAGTATAAAACCTGGTCCTGTTTAGTTGAAAAAATGACTGCTATACTTGCAGGAATTAAAGAAAGACATGAAAATCTTCTTTAACTGCTCTTGCTCTTTTTGTATTATATAGTAGTTATCCTTTTGCTGCCATCTAGTGGAAGACTATGTAATTGCTGTACATGTCACCCATGCCCATAGATGAGGGAAGACAAGGGACAGGTAATGTTCTGTGCTGAGTCTGTGAATGCTTCTGTCTTTGAGTGTCCTCAGAACCACGAAGACAAAAGTGTGACTGTCTCTCATGCAGTATTCAAACCACACGCCCATACAAACACGAGCTCAGCCTGAAGCAGATGGGAAGAATTCATTCAAATGCACGCCCATATGTGAACACACACTCATACACACACACACCATTGCAGTTCAAACAGCTGATTACCAGGAGATAAGAGCCTGGATCTGAATTTCAAACATGTCAAAATTCCGAGCCAGATCAGCGGAAAACAGACCTGGGGCTTAACAAGGTGAATTCCAAATTCCCTCTACAGACACAAATACCACAGATAACCCGGTGAGGGGTCAGAGATACGCAGGCATGATGAAACGAATGGAGAGAGTGGTGCTTCAGTGTCAGTCGGAAATGTTCAGGAATACAGCCTTTAACTTCCCAGTGAGTCTGTGGACAATTAAATCAGTGTGTGTTTGTGTTTGTTTGGAACCTGGCATTTGATTGACAGAATCACAGCACATCTGAATACACTCAGCAACACAACAACAGGGGCTGAGCACTGGTGTTCACCAACCATCTGGCTCTCTCAGATATTCAGAGCATGAAAGTGTTTTCTTATTTTCATGAAGCAATGAGAATGAGGCATGGAAAAGATGTAGTGAAACACTTGTTATATTTGACAAAAAAACGAGGAAGTTTCTGAGTATCCAGCAGAGCAAACTAGGAAAGGCAGTGATTAGGAGTGGGAAATATTGCAGGGCTTTTCTTTGGTCAGTGGCCAGTCTAGATAATGAGCTCCTCAGCTTTGATGTCTGAGCGTGTGTGTGTCTGTGTGTGTGTCTTTTTACACCTCACTCTCCTCTGTTTAATTGTTTTTTATGCAACGGGGTGCTGTTTGTTGACCCTTTTTTTCCCCTTACTGATTCAGTGTCTGTGTGCAGCTCATTTTCTCTCACTGTCGTTTACAGGAGGTGAATAATTAATCAAAACAACATTGGAAATGCAACCGAGTCTTGCGGGGACAATATCCAAATCCCACTGTCTGCAATTATCAGGATGAAGGTGAGCGGTGTCATTACATTAACCTCCGGTGGCATATGATGTTTATTTTGATCCCACTAAAGTGACACAATCATTTCAGGGTTTGTTTGTTTTTTTCTTTTTTTCTGTCCAAAATTAAATTGTATAATTAGCATTTCCATTAGCAACATGACTCAGATGTGCGATCGAGAGGGCGAGCCAGTTCAGACAAAAACACAAATGGAGCTTTTTGTGTTCATTAATATGAGAATACAGTTGCACACATATGATTTTCACTTTTCTCTCTGTTAACAGTAACAAAAAAAAATCGACTCCCTCATCACCATCCTGTTAAAGTTGCTAAAAGTGTATATGTTTCTCCCCTTCGATCATTTGCAATCCTAAGGTCTGCTGCTATGATACTGCATTGAATAATTAGATTTATTTGAGATGGAAATGTTAGTATTTGTTGATTTCAAATAGCCTGTGGTCCAGCATTTGTGTCATTTTAATTCCATTCTGTTTTGTTAAAATCAAATGAATATCATTACTGTCCCTTCCCAAGATTCAAGAGTTTAATTGGTCACATGATCAGTTTGTAACTACAGCAAAATGTAAACCTGAGTCGCTTCAGGGACGTCTGTGCATGTTGAACATAGTCAGCATCAAATATCAATACACAATATAAGCTCAGTAATCTCTCTAAATGTAGCATGAAGAAAAACGCATCATGGTCTGTGATGAAAGGATTTTGAATGAGCAAAAGTAGCTAGAAAGAGCCTTCAAAATCACAAAGTGACGTTTGTATCATTTTGACATTCCCAAAAAGACGGGTCTGTAGAATTTCTCAGAAAAAAAGAAAAAAAACTCCATAAGTACAGACCTGTTAGTGGAGGGTTCTTCTCCCTCTTTTGCTTTCACATGGTGCAGAAATCCATGCTGCTGGTGCGTTTGGTCTTAGAGCTGAGTGAAGCCGCCTCTGAGATCCTCTGTGTGAGCCTCACTCCCTCTCTCTCCTTCTGTCATTCATCGTGACCCCCACCCCGCCCCCCAGACACACACAGACTCATATAGTCCCACACACTATCCAGGCTCTTTTCAGTGGAGACTTTCTCTGACCACACTTACAAATTAATAAAAAAACAGAAAGAGGCAAAAGCACATGACTTTCAACCGACGCTGGAATTAATGAATGACACTGTTTTACTTTGAGAGAGTGATGAAAAGAGAGAGAGGGAGAGAGAGAGAGCTCAATCCCAGCCCATCTGTGTTTGTGTGTGTTGGACTCCCTGTGTCTGCTCCTCCCTCCTCCCTTTCCCCTGCCGCTCATCACCTTTGAATAATAATCACGCCAACGGTCAACTCACCAATCCCTCATTTTCACTGAGCAAATATTTCCCTAAGACTTTACATTTTTAATCAAGCTCCTTTACGAGCCAACACCGGAATCCCGCAGACACGTTTGAAAAGGATATTGTGAAGGAGCTGAATGTCATCGCACAAACCTTTGAGTGTGTGTTTAATCCAAGGACACAGCTTTGCTCGGTGATCTCAGCAAACTGCGTCAGTAGACGATATCCAGCAGTGAGAAATACCTGACTGCCAGCAGACGGGGTCTTTTCAGCTGAGACCCCAAACGAGCAGATGAAAGAGAAAAGGGCCAACTGGTGATAAAGAGAGAGGGTTTAACACCTCAGTGTCTCTCTGCTGTAACCTTGTTTCTGGTCTGTGGAATTTTCCCTGTAAACGGCTGCCAAACATAAATGCTAAAAGATCTTAACGAACAAAAGCTTAGAGCGTTTTTTTTTTTATTATTATTTAAATATCTTTCAGATTATTAGTCCGTGATTTTATTTTGAAATACATTTGGGCTGGGTTTTGGTATTATTCCTCCACATGTTCTTCTGCTACAAACGCTCCTGTTTGTGCCGCTGCTGTTTTCATTACAGGCGAATATAAAGAGAGTCTCTGTCATGCTGGCAGACAATGTTTACGACTGCAGTTAACAAGTTAACGACACAAGACTCAACTAATTAACACCAAATGCAGATAACTGGTCGGTTTGGACACGATAGCAGTGAAATAACAAATTCTAAGACCACCATGTGGGTCACACTGAATTCATCAGGTGAACTGGAATATACAATGGGGCCTACCTGAGAGTTTTCCAAGTTACGAAGAGGCAACTGTTGCAAGATTTTGCTTGTGGTACAAGGAAACATCGAGTTACGAGTGCTCAACCGAGCTCCATTTTTCTACAACAATAATATAAAATGTTTTCTTAAATATTGTTATTTTACATTATCAATATGTTTGTTTATATCCATGTTTTTTAAGTTAAGATAAGAGGGGGATTTAATTAAATTAATTAGTATATTTCTGCGGAGCTGGATTGAATGAATCGGTTTTTAGTTATTTTTAATAGGGAAAATTCCATCTAGATAGGAGTGGATTAAGACACGAGTGCTGTTGCTGGTGAAATGAAACATTTTGATCTGTAACTTGGGCCAAATTACAACAACTCCAGCTCCTCTATCCTGTGTCGAGGGCACATAACATTTGTAATTGTTGACGACCTGCAGCTGCACATGTGATATGTGATATATGACTTTTTAACTGTGAACTGATGCTATCGGGGTCGTACTGGACGAGCTCCCGTGGAAACCAAAACATATTTCCCTTTGATTTACATTTGTGAATTTCATGACTGGAAAGACATCAAAACATAATATGTGGATTTGTGGAATTATTCTCAGTGTGTAACCGTTTAAACAGTTACATTGGGATTTTTGAACAAACATCCAGTGACACGTTTTGTTGCTGCACTTCTTGGACGTTGTGTAGTTTGGAAAACATCCCTATAAATAATCAATACGAGCTGGATTACGGTAATTGTTTGCACTGTTTGACACATTGTTGTGTTTTTGTTTTTCTGTTTTGCAGAATTGTTAAAAGACCTGTTCTCAGCGACCTGCCTCTTCCATCTCTTGTTGATGTGATAGACCTCTCTGTCTGATCTGTTGTTGATTCAATTGTAAGAAATCACAGTCTTTGCCAGGTCATTACAGACAATGCTGACGAACAACTGTTTGTTTTTGCCGTCTCCTGAACGTGCCTTATGGCTCTGCTGTATATTATTGTACAGTCCACATTCTAGTCTCATTAAAAAGTCATATTGAACCAATGAAAATAATGCAATTGTCTAGTGTACCAGGGGATTTAGACCACAGAGAACCCTGAAGCAAATGGCAATTAGCAACATTAGAGTTTTTTTTGGGCTGCGCTGCTTTTCTTTACTCCCTCGTCAGCCGTGGTGAGTTATCATTATCATGTTGAAAAGGAGAAACTGATGAAAGCAATAATACAATTTTGGTAAGTAAATCTGTCCTTTTGAAGTTTTTTTTTTTAGCAAGTTTTATATTTAAGGAAGCAGATTTAATTAAAAATAATGGAATTCCACACACATCACTGAAACTAAAATTACTTTCCATATTTATTTCATTCTTCAGCCATAATCACATTCAGGATCATGGAGGGAGCAGGAGCCAATCCCAGCAATCATCAGTCAAGGGCGGTGAACCCATTCCCGACCACTGTACCGTGGCACTATGCCATCAGAGATCAACAGGTGAGCTGTGTTAATGACCCTGTTACACATAATTAGTATGAAAGCTATTATTTAGTTACTGCAAATAATTTGTCCTTGTTTGTCAGTGTGACAGTGATCAATAATCAAATACGTTTCCATAAGAGGGCAGCATAGACTTAGCTGTTGATGTAGCTCTATCAGTGCCTCTTCCTTCAATTCCTGTGTGTAGATTATGGTTGTATTTAATTAAACAGGTCAGTGTTTAATACTGAAAAAAAATAATTGTCAGTAGCCACTAAAAGATAATTACATTTTATTACCTATAATTTTGAGAACTCATTGTTTGATGGGAAGGTGTGTGATTTGCATCGCTAAAAGTGCTGTAGTGTAACTAAACGTGAAGACTAACAAAAGATTACAATCCTCCTGTGAAACATTTTCATTTTTGGTTCTATTGCTCCAAATAAAGAAGCATCATTTGGCTAAATTGAGCTTTTCTAGAGATTTTCATATTGTCTTGTCTACAATATGTAACTAATTATGGTGGGAGTTGGGGTGTGGGGGTCACTCTGGTTTAATTTTGATTTAAAAATCAATGCCTTATTCTGACTGTCTGACTCGCCATCAAGAACTTGTTAGCACGCTAATGCTAATCATGAAAAGTGTTAATTGTGTAGCAGACGACACCTGTCTCTGCTCTGTGAAGTGGAACAGCCTCACCCCACACCTCCCCTCCTGCAGATGCCTCTCTCCTTTTGCCATCTGCCCTGAAACCAGCGGGGTATTTTCAGCAGTGGAACACAGTGGGTTGAGATGGTGACGATGTGGTGCTGTTATTTTACATCATGAATGCAGTGGCCACTTACTCACATCATCACTGCCTTTTTAAGATAGCAATGTAAAGAGGGCTGGGGTTTATTTGACGAGTTGGAACGTGTTTGTGGATTTTCTTCTTAATCTGAGGAAAAGATATGGATTAATATTTTAGTGAGACACAGCTGGATGTTTTACTGATGCTGTTTTTGGAGGAACGGGGGACAGAGAGAAGAAATACATCAAGTCAGTCCACACTTCAAGATTATTTCCTACCCTGTGATGTGCAACTGGCACAGCCTCGCTCTCTCTCTCTTTCTTGCACACACACACACACACACACACACACACAAAGAGAGAGTTCCTTATTCTGCTAAAGAGGGAAATATATTTAGCAAAACTAATTAAAGCCTTATGAGCACACGTGCTTGTGTCTGTGTAGACTCAAGTGCCCTTGTGTGCTTTTCTGCCGCCCGTGTATGTGTGTGTATGCAAACGAGGACTGCAGCGTGGAGATAAGAGCTGTGGCCTCGACTGGCATTTGTCACTAATCCCAGAAGGCGAAGAAGTGGCGGCCGATTCCTCGTCATTCCCTGATATTCCAGCCCATTCTGACTCGGTGCCATTTAGCTGTGCCCTTGTAAGGACACCAGTCTGCAGTCAGTGCTGCATGTTAATGAAGCAGCAGAGACCTGCTGTAAAGACAGGGCGGGTGCAGCTGGAGTTTTCAAGTACTTTGGGGAAAGTCTGAATGGAGTGGATTTTACTTTTTATTTTTTATCTAAAAAGGCTGTGAGGAAATAAGTAAATGTTACGTTGAAAGCTGGTAGCATTGGGATGTTGATAAAAATTTCCTTTTATTTCGGATTTCTGAATGTACGTTGTATGCCTGGAATTAACTTGCAGAGTCTAATTGTAAGAGAAAATCGCTTAAAGTTGCCCACTGCTCACTTTGGTGATGGGTAAAATGCAAAGGTCACATTTTGTTGTGTGTTTCACAATGACAACTAGTTCAATTTCCTTTCCTAACCAAAGGAACTGCAAAACAAAGCAGACTAAAGTCCGCCATCTGGCGGTTGAAGATGATGTTGTATCGTGTCAGTGTTTGACATTTAAACTGAATATGTATGTAAATCACTGTGCATATATACAGAAATAAAATAATTAAATATATATATATATATATACATGCTAGTTTTTAATACTCATCTCATATATTTGTATTTCATATAATGCACCTAGGGAAAGGTGTTTTATTTTGCTGCCATGTTTGGAAACAGCTATTCTGTATCACACTGGATGCATTTTGAACTCTGCCCTGATGTCAACAGTGAAATGAGCTGCTGGTTCAAGGGATGCATCACCAGCAACAATGGCTGCAGTAGTGATGAGCCGTATAAATAATGCAGTTCACCCCAGTGAACCCCAGCTGAGGTCAGAATTGACAGGGGGCTCCTCACTGTGATTTTTGATTTGATTGATGCTCATATTTTCACAACACAGAAACAATCCTGATTTTTGATTTTAGACAATTCTGACAAGAAATATCTTTATGTTTTGTGGTTATTATTAGTCTTTAAACACAGTTAACCAAAGTGAAATAAAAACATAAGGGGATTTAAAGAATTGATTTAACAGAATAAATGTTCTTATGTTGCTTATCTGGAGCAGATGGCTCAGAATACATGATTCATTTAGTATTTTACTCTTGTTAATGAATAAAAGAACACAACAATCAAAATGCATTGGAATTGTCACGAGGACAGAGAAGACACAATACCAAACCCTGCCTCTGTTTTTTTTCTCTTCTCGCCTCTAATTGGTATTCTGGTGAGACTCACCTCAATTTTGAAAAGGTGGAAAAACAGGAACAAAGAAAAAGTAGAGAATAAATAATGTAATAAAATAATAAAATTTGTAGAGTCATACTTAAAATGCATCTTTAACACAGATCAGTGGCAAATATTAATATTTATCTCATGTGCTTTTTTTCCCCTTTTTATCGTGATGGAAGGGGAGGCCCTGCCTCCCCTGACCGCACGTCACTGGCTCAAACTCTGGCTCCAAATATGACCACCTGCTATTCTCCGCTACTGTTTATCAATAAAGCTTCACTGAAGCGTAAAGCAAGTGTCAGATTCTTACAATATATTACACTTCTAAATTATGTAGATATGTATATGCCTTGAGTAAATTACAAAACAATATATTTCAAAAGAAATAAATGAAATGTTTATTTTATTTTACAAACAGGTAAAGTCACTTTATTTTGAAAGTTGTAACCGGAAAAATATTCCGGTGTGTTCTACGCCTGCGCATTGGTTTGTGGGTGTTTTAGCTAAATTAATGAGAAACACCTGTGTGAGTAGACGAACACAGTAATAAGAGTGAAGAGGAACTGTTAAAAAGTTGTTTTTGTTTGTGTTTCTTAAAAAAAAAAGTTTAAAAGAAATTAAGGTAAGCCAAGATTTATTTTGAATTAAATGTATTTGTAATTCAAGTAAAGCCGCGGTCACGTTTGACGCCATGAACGCAACCCCGAATCAGTTAAGTTAACGTTAATAAAACTACCAACCTTTTTTGCCCAAATTTAAACGTTAACTTAATGGTCTTGCTTACATTCAGGACCATGGTCTGGTTTTTCAGGTAGAACCTGAACCTTTTTTCCGAGTCCATATCTGTGTTAGAAATATTAACAACTATTTAATGACAGAAATCTGAGCTCTTATGGTTTTTACCGTCAGAGTCGAGCTCTCTTCCTGAAACCTCACCTGTTGTCTTCCTCTTCACACCTGGTTTGGCTGCATATCTGTAACAGGTACAACTATTTACCTCCTGTTCTGCTTTAAGTTTTCTTTGCCAGAGGTACACTCGATATTTGGAGCTCATTCCATACAACCAGAGCGCTTTCTGGAAGCTATGATAAGAAATAGTTTTTTAAATACTTAACTCCTGATATAAGTAAACTCATGTTTGATATTCGTTAGTGTAGGTCAATGGTGGTTGCAAAATACATAATTCTTATAATCAAGTAATGGGACTTTAGCGTCCTCTTATGGACACGACGTCATATGTATGTGTGTGATGCATTAAATGTTAGTCTGCTTTCACGGTCTTGTGCATTTACAATTAAAGAAATGAATTAACGAAATATGCATAATTTTACTCAGTAAGGTGGAATCACAAAAAAAAGGTGACACTAGTGAAGGTTTCACAAACCAGCTTTGTAGCCAATGTAGTTTGTGTATACAGTACATGGGTGGGGATCACAAAGTACAGGTTACGTACTGCATGTGGTTGCTCTATTCAGGCTACCTTTTCCAGTTAGTTTTACACATTTAGTATAAGCTAAACATGGAAACAATCAGTGGTTGATCTTTTATAAACACTGTCCATGGTCACTTATGTGTACCAATATAATGGTTAATGCCTTTATTTGTAACCGATTTCTTCCATTTTTTCTCAGCATGGCTGAGCCTCCAGAGGTGCTGCTCATCAAGGACCAGTATAAGTTTGCTTATCACTGCCTGGGTCGCGCACTGGCTGCTGAACAGGCTGGTAGAACAGAGGAGGCGCTGGACTACTACAGAATGGGCCGTCAACACTTTGCACACGGCGTGGAAGTTCCCACTGGAGCAGAGTGGCAGCAAGGAGCGGTTTGGGACACAGCCAGGCAGTACCAGCAGAGAATGAGGGACTCCCTGCACACTGTCAACGCCCACCTCACTGACCTCGCCACCTCTCAGCTGACAACAGCAGACCACAGGAACCAAATGTTATTGCATTTTTCTCCCCCTCCAGTGGCATCTAACAGTCAGCCTCATCATACCTCTCTCCAGTCTGTGTGCCCCACTTTACCTCCTAGACCCCAGAACACAAACCTCATCTCACCTCCTCCCAGGCCTGCTTCCTGTCCTCCGTTTGAATTCGCGGTCCCTGCTGAGGCTTCAGGAACCACAGCCATGAATAACCCTGGGGAGCAGCCTCCAGAATACACCCCAAAGCCCACAAACGGGCACAGCAGCCTGGCTTTTGGTCCAACTGACCCCTGGTCAGGAAGTCACAGCAGACCAAGACAAAATGAAATGGAGCTGCTGTTTATTCCATCTGGAGTTCAGCTGTTTTTCGTGGCACCAAATGGACAGGTCAGCTCCCTGTCTAATCCAGGATATCTCCGTATTGTTACTTTTGATAGTGGAACGAAGGAGCCCACCACGGACAGACCCTCAGCTTTTCTACATGTGAGTATACCCAGCGTTATATTTAGAACACTTTAAGTCAGCTAAGCCCTTTGGGTTTTGAGCTGTCCTGGAGGTACTGTATGTTTGAACAGAGGACTACTCCCTCAGAAACAACGTCACAGGTATTAGACACATTTAAAGACAACTGTGAGTCATCGTGCAGGTATTGAGAGGACAAGGTGTCCCAAGGAAATTCTGTTTACAAATCATAGGGTTGTCCTGGTTACATATTTTCATGCACACGTACTGACAGTTTACATGTGTAAGTATATTGTATGTTTAGACATTTTGGGGTTATTGTGTTGATCTTCTAATTCATATTAATTACCAGGTTAGTTAGTTACAATATATACTACTAATTCTCATTAGTAAATCAATTATTTTAGTTTATACAAATAGATGTAATGTTCTGCTACTGTCTCTACTACATTAATGGTAACACTACAAATGATCCTTTAAGGATTTACTTTTCAAAGAATAAGACAAGTCGTCTTTTTCAATTACACTAATCTAACTTTTCTTAAATAGCAGCCTTGGTTTTTTTTTATTTTGCATTTGAAGTCCAAAATGATTTCACTAACTGTCGTTATATATAAAATATATTGAGATTCTAATATTATATATTATACAATTAGATATTATAGAATAGTAGAAATAGTCAACATTCTTTAAACTTAGTATTGTAGGCTGTGAAAAGAACATGGAAAGAGTTTAGATTCAGAACTATTATGACTTGTCCATATCTTGCATTGAATTTTTTTGAGTAAGTGTCTGTTTCTTTTTGTTAAAAACAAACAGACAAATCAACACAGACGTAACATCAAGTCAACAGTGTATTCCAGAACTTCTACAAAGATCCATTTATTCCAGTTTGCCTCATGACTTTGTTTCCAACACCCAGGCTGGTACATAATGCAGCTCCCCAGTATTCAGGCTCTGCTTTGTTTCCCACAGAGACAATGATTCCATTAACACATGAGTCTGCCCTTCAGTTGTGCTGCTCGCCATTGTCTAGCACCCAAACATTTTTGGGGATGCATGATACAGCAGAAAGTCTCGGACTAATTCAAAATTTCAATTTGTTCCCACAGGGGAACGTCAACATTAGATAGTAATGTCTTATATGTAAAAAAATATAAAATGAGCAAGATAAAGAAATAATAATAATTATAATGCATATTTCTTTAAATTAAACAGTTGCTTTTAAAGAGAAAAAAATCAAGAAAAGTAAATTTAACTAACTGTTGCATATGCAATTAATAATGAAGTCCTTCTAATACAAACAAATGAGTGAGCATCAGAAATGATAATGGTTAGAATTTTAATGACTGTTCATAATGTAAAAAGGCACAAAACAAATTGGAGCAAAAAGACCAAAAAACTCAAACATATTTGGTGGACTTGTTTTTAACCGTAGCTAAATAAAAACCAGCCAGTTGCTCCATCTTCTAGTTGCTATCTTCCTCTGTCACTCTAATTGCAGTTGCTATCTTCCTCTGTCACTCTAATGGCAGTGGCCAAGTTGTTTTTTTTTCTCCAGCCTTGGTTAAGTAGTGATAGAAAAAAACATTTATTATTATAAAAACCAAAGCCTTTAACACAAAGAGTTTACGTTTTTGTTCATAATGTGAGTTTTATATTCCTTTTTTTAAGGTGTGTGACAGGCTGTACCAACTGACAACAGACACACCGGTGCTGTTGGCCAACTCTGGGATCTTCATGTTCACTGACTGCTCGGTGGAAATGCATGGATCCTTTGTTGGCATTGTGTTGTCCTCTGAACTGCCTGTTGCCTGCCGGGAATTGTTTAAAGACCTCCTATCTCAGCTGGCCGATCTCAGGTTCCAGGTCTGTTCACTGAATGTCAGAAACTCATGTAGTCACTGGGTTAGTGAGTTTGTCTGTAATTTCATCTTTTATGTTGCTAAAAATTATCATTATTCAATTCTGTGTGATCGGCACGTTACAGAGCAAATCCAACACTTCATTGTCTTACATACAATATGTGTCACTTTTATTCTTTAACAACATAGATTTTGATGTATATAACCTGTTTGAGTGTCTTCACCATTTTGGTTGAATGTGTGATATATCTTCTCTAAATAACTCTGTTTTGACAGAGTACTCAGGGGGCAGAAGCAGATCTCACTAACCTGAGTACCAAAGTCCCCGTTGGTCCCCCGCAAGTACCAGGACAGATTGTGGCACCAGGAGAGAAGTCACTTCTTCCAAGATGGAGTGAGAAAATGGCTCATGGAATTCTGTCAGGTGTGTTTATAACCCAACTTCATGTTCATGCTTTACACCTAACATGGCATTTGTCATCTCCGTCCATTTTCCACAGCATCCAGATTCAAATTAAACATATTGGGTCATTTCTTAGGTTCTACGTGGTTGGGTCAAGGTTTCCTCAAGGGAGCAGAAGCTACCAGTCGTGCCATTCATAAAGGGGGATTCAAGATGAGGGATCGCATGACACCTGAGGAAACTCCTTCAGAGGTCAGCCACAAGGTGACTAAAGGTCTAGAGGCGAGTAAACAGGCCACAGGGGGAGTTCTGCGAGTCAGCCGATTCTTAGGTAACTAACTCACGCAAAGGTTTTGTAGCAACTGTGAGAAGTGACATTTAATTCTGTACATTTTTATAATTCAAAATCAACATCAGCATATATTGTGTGTATATTTGTCTCTAAATGTATAATGAACAGTATAGGCTTTCTTCTTCTTCCTTGTCGTCTTCATTTTCTTTTACTTTTAACTATAATACTATTGTGCACCACGGTTCATTAATTAACATTATAATTACAGTTGATGGTGTCAGCAAGGTTCTAGGACATGCAGCAGAAAAGGTGGCACCACATGTTAAGAAACAAGGCGCTAAACTAGTTCCTGAATCTTTGAAAAACCGTAAAGAGGGTGAGCCATCAAACTGGGATGGGACCAAACATGTGGCATCCAGCAGTGTACAAGGTTGGTACCAAATAACAGAGGTTATTTTGTCAAAAAGGTTATGCTATGCATAAAAATGTGCATGGTGTTTGCATGCAAAAGAAATAGATAGACATAAATAATTTTAGAGCACATTCATAGTCACATTTGAATCATTTGAATTAGAATGATCATCTTCTCCTTGAAAAAGCAAAACAAATTTTTCCTGCATCAACACCAGGGTTTTCTACTGTCTGGTCAAGTCTGGAGGAAGGAGCAAAGCTTGTTGGCAAAAGTGTTAGAGCAGAGACAGTCACATCTGTGACTTACAAGTAAGTTCTTCCATTTAAGATATATGAACTGTCATCTTTTGTAGAAATATCCTAAACATTGTGGCACCTTTGGTTTCCACCTGTTGCTGTATCTGTTGACCAGCTGTCAATAACCAACACTGACTCTGGTTCTTTCCTCTATGTATTCTGGGACCTGATTTGCTTTCCTTTCAGATTCAAAGGCTTACAGAGTCTCTTAAACATGTCCAGCCACACGTGACTGCACTGTAGGAGGGAAAATCTCTCGACTAACTGCTGCTCCTGCTCAGTGCTGTTGGGTATACTCTTCTAACGTTTATACAAGTCTAAAAATAACCCAAAAAGACAGGTACCATATCTAAAACATCACAACTGACACAAAAACCTGTGAGTTTGGGTTATTTTCTGACAGTTCATTTTTCTGGTGTGTGTTTATCTGGTACACTGCAGTGTTCTGCTTCTCTTTGGTTTTAACACATTTGGTGTCCTCAGGGTCTGTAAATGCTCTGCCTGGTGATATGACAATAAAGCTGCCACACAGTGCGGCATGCCAATTTCTTTTTGGAACTATGGTGTGTAAACGTGCAACAAAACCACTATCACACGGTGCTGGATACACATTTCCCTTTCTTTCTTTTTTGTAAGTCCAACATGTTCTCATCCTCATCATAATATATTTTTGTTGAAGGTACGGCAACTCGGCAGGCGATGCCACAGACACAGCTCTGCAGTCAGTGGTCAATGTCGGTGTGACTGCATACAACATTGACAACCTGGGCATCAAAGCCGTCCTGAAAACTGCAGGAAAGCAGACGGCCAAGGCCATGGTCAAAAGTTCAAATGAAGAGAAAACAGACACAGAGGGGCTGGAAAAACAGAAGGAAGCCAAGGCACAGATAAAGAAATAAGTTTGTGTTTCCACGCTGGAGAGCTATAGATCACTTATGTGCAGTTAAAAACAGGAGACCTTAGTAACAAATCACTGTAATCTGTGTTAAAACACAAGCACAGGAAGTGAATGCTGCACTTAAGCCAAATTAAAAAAAATCAATATATAATTAAAGATCAAAATGTAATCATGCGAAAACCAATATTTACATGTAGAAAAAAACTAAGATATTTTTTAATAACATTCCATTAACCAAACATTTTTATAGTTGTATGTAAAAGGACATTGTTTTAAATGCTCATATATTGATTTACAGAGTACATTTTACTGAAGTGTATATAGAGTAGTTTGTTCATGCCAACACCAAACCAGAAAACTGTGTTTATTGCTAAGTATTCATACAATTTAGAAAAAAACCTGAAAACTTTTGGTAGAAAAGATTGGGTCTCCTCTATTATGATCCTTAATACATTAACACATAGGGATATATCTACAGATATTTATTATAATATCCGGGGTTGTTTAATATAATATATAAAAGGCCTATATATTATTAAAAAATAAAAACCACACAAATCTGTCAGTAGTGTCAACTTGAGTTACTCTTTCCATACATTAAAGAGCTGTAAGGTTATTTGCGCCTTTTAAAAAAGTATGCACAAAAACGTGAGGTTTGATTATGTCGTTAAAGGTAGTCTGATCACTCGAGATTGGGCAACAAATCAGAAAAAAAATCACTTGTCCATTTGTCTGTAAATTTTCCGCAAAAATCTTCCTTTATTTCCGGCCCTGCCGGAACTGGACGGAGGCCGCCGTATCCATGGTAACCAGAGTCACAAAGTCCTGCTGAGTTTTCGTTAGAATCATGTCTGCACAAAGTGAGTACAGTAAATACGACCTGACACGATTAAGGGCTGAACTGGACCAGGAGAGAGAAATGAGGTGTGTCTGTTAACTTTGACTAAAACGCTCTATTGTGTTATGGTTGCTTTTTTTGCTGCTGAAAATAGGAACTCCATCGTCTGATTAGTTTTGTCTTTGCCACAGAGAGATGCTTGACGAGTCGGTGTCTGATCTGAGGAGTACGATGTGTGAACTGCAAGACAGACTGCACAGTGTCGATGGAGAAGGTGTGAGACGTTATTAACACCGGTGTTAATGACTCATGCTGTCGCCCTTCCTTAGTAATGCATTCTTTACACATTCCAGGCAGTGAGTGGAAGACACGGTACGAGACACAGGTGGAGCTGAATGGACAGTTGGACAGACAGATCTCACTCATCAATGAGAGACTGGGTGATCTACGAGGGAATCCCATTGGTGAGCTCATAAGCTTGAAATGTGGTTTGGGTGGAGGACTTTTCGGTATGATGAGAATGAACTGGACCCTCATGCGGTCACACCCTGTCACTGTTTGTATACAGTGTAGTAAGCGGGGAGGGAGGGGAGGGATCTTCAACTCATTATATGCCAAGTACTGGGTTATTTTAAAGGAGCACACGAAAAAAGGCACCAGAATAAAACCACATTAGTAGTTGACTACTAATATAAATTGTTTATCTAAGTATTGATTAAAACCATCAATTTAATATAATACTGTACAATTAAAACGTATGGTTTTAGGTGTACAGTTTGCTGAAATTACATAATATATGACAACAATCTGATCGAATGGAATTGAATTAATGCATTACAAATGTTTCTCTTAGATCGACTGGCCTCAATCCGCTCCTATGATGACATGCCAGTGGTGAGTGCTCTGTTTATTTATCCATTCATTCATTTATTTATTTATTTTCCTACTTGGATTTATTAAAAATGAAACCTAAACAAAATTACAGTGTACACTCCGTGCATGAGCCAGCAGAGGGAGCCAGAGACTTAGGCAGCACTGTGACGTGCCTCTTCTCTCTCCCATTTTCTACTGAAGTTTGAACAAACCCTAGTTTGCAGTCAGGATTATACACCGAGGCCAAGTAATGCACAACAACTGTGGCTGTTACACAATATTTGACATTTTCTGACTGTATGTACAGTCAGAATGCCTAAGGCAGAACTAACAGATGGTCATTAGTGGGTACAGTGACTGCAGGACTCGACTGAAGGTGTGTTGACAAACACATACTCAAACTGCCTCCAAGGACAGTTTGAGTATGTGAAAAGAATAAGAATTATGCTTAATTAATGTGATGAATAATTGTGAGGACCATGCTTTTGTAATATAGACATTATTATATCATCATGGAAAGGAAATATACAGTGGTTTTCCAATTAAATATAGGTTTCAATAAATAAACCATGTTTTCAGATTTGACCCTTCTCTAAACATCTGATCAACACATGTTAAAATGGATTCTTTTTTTAACCTCATCTAATCTTGAGGCACTTTGCTGCACGTCTGTTGTTGCCTAATCCCTGCAGACGCTGTCATCTCCTACTAGTGCAAACATCTTTGGCCAAAGCTGACACCGCCCTGACACATTGTGTTATGTTGAAGGTTACGTACAGTTTTTCCCTGCAGGAAACTCTGCGGCAGCGTCTGAAACTTCTGAGTGAAGAAAAGTCTGACCTCCAGAATCAGCTGATGGACTGTCTCCACAGGACCGAGCAGGAGGGAAAGGTTTTAGTCTCGCTTGTTTTTTTGTCCACCAGCCTTGTCAAATGAGTTTTGACCTTGCGGCTTGCATGTGTCTGCAGTGCTGTAAATGAAAATTCCATTAATCACACAAAAAAGATTATACGATTTTTCTGTTGTTTGCCTTTTCTTTTATTAGTCAGCAGCCACTGTAGCCCGGGGCTGCTTTTAAGGTGTCAGACAAAACAACTAGACAAGAAAAAAAAAATATGATACCAGATTTTGTTTCTTTCAAATACCAGGCTTTTCATAAAACCAATGATGAGAGACGAGCATACCTCTCTGAAATCGCCAAGGTAAGCGTTCACTTTTGTCCACGTTACCCTGACAGATGAATAGTGTTGATCTTAAATGTGACATTTTTTACTGAAAAAAAAAAAATCACGCCATGCTTAAATGCTACTGATGTTTGTTTGTTTTTTTCTGTTCAACTTTGGAATGTCATTAATCCACTAGCAGTTCTAGGGTTCTCATGTTATGTAATGGAGAGGGAGTCCTTGCTCAGTAAAGAGCCAAGGACTTTCAGCTTTTTGCTGCAGCAACACTGGTTTCAGTGGGGTTGAAATGTGTGTTATTGTCACATTTTAGATTGGAATTATAATGTTAACGAAATATTATGGACAGTTCCTTTATGTTGATAAGTCAGGGCAGACACACACACACACACACCCTAACATATGCTCTGGTAATATTCGAAGATTAAGCCTCTGTTTCTGGAGCACGTGTGCTGATCATAATCTCCTATAAATGATCCACTGCAGCTGTCCTCCACACTAGAAGCTCACAGAAGACATTTCTCCACCCAACCACAGAGGGCAGTAGAGAGACAACCGAGGAACAGCAGATATAGGTAATAAAGGATTACAGACCAGGTTAGAGAAAACAGTTTTTTGGTGTTTTGTCACTTTGGTGGTGCACAGAGACATGAAGTGGACTAAGTGATAACGGATGAATTTGTAAATGGTCTAGAATGTTTAAGTAGAGATAAAGACTGACTGAGGAGTCCAGTATCACTCACTGTACAGAGTTTTGACATGTGGCGTAATCATAAATCACACACGAGAGAAACGACCCCTTCGTTGATCCATCTTTTATCACTTCTTCCCAGAGGGTGGCAGACTAGCAGCAACGTGGAGACTCACGTAAAGAGAGGCAGAGAAAGAGGAGAAGCTGCTGGACGAGGTGTCCATGTGAAAGGAGGAGCAACAGAAAAGAGAAATGAGGAGAAGTCACCCAAAGGGAGCAGGTTACCCTCCCTGAAACACTACAATGAACACAGTCTCTAACTCCAAAGGTGTTATGGCTGCTCTCGCCGGTCAATTCTTTCCCCACCGGCTCCATTTACTTCTTTTGAAAATAGATTTTTATTTTCAAATGAAAATTTTTTTCATCCGGGAGCCACAGATGGGATTTTAATCCCAGGGTTATTTTCCACTGCATGACAAACACAGAGTTCTGCATAACCATTACATTAAAATTTCCATTTTAATCACTTCTTCCCTTGCAGCCGGCAATGTTTGATGGCAAGAAAATTAAAGGCAGAATTGAGGTCAAGTCTTAATGAAGCAGCAGCGTCTTTCATTTCACTGCCATTCATTTCTTCAAACCACCGCCTCCTCTCAACTTTGGTTACGTAAGCAGCACCGATCCCTGTATGGAGTTGATCTAGTGAACAGCCATCCTGCTGCATCACACCCACTTACCACCTTCAGGACGTGGGCGTCAGAAATCTGTGTGTCTTCGTAGTGAATGTGAGTATTGCCAGAAACTGTTGGATTTGTGTGGTTTGTGAAGAAGTAGTGAGGAGCACGGGTTCAACCTCAAATATCTCCAGTTGGAAAATTATCAAATAATTTAAAAAAAGAAATAAAAAAGATCATTACCAACTGATGTTGTCTATAAAGAGGAATTCAAAGGCAAACCTGTTTGGGATTATGAAACAGTTTTTTGAGGATGTTGTTTTTTTTTTAGCTATGTCCTGTTGTATCAGTTACTCAGTGGATTTTGTAAAAATTTTAGTCATTTAAGTCAATTAGTTTATTATTAGTTAGTGTTAATATTTGTGCTTAAATACTACAAATACTCTATGTACAAACAACATAATCTGGTTACTTGCAAAGGAAATTATTATTGGAAAGTTGTTGACCTTTGACCTTTAATTGTATTTCATTCACAATTCTTTTTTAGCAGTGAAGGTGCAGGTGAATGCATTTAAATGCTTTGATCATTTCCCTTAATTCCATATTTTTATTTAATTTTTTATTTATTTATTTTTGAATATATACATATATACACATACACACACTACCAAACCAGGCCTCCACAAACCAACACCAACATTTATAAGACCATGAGCCCACTGGCCTTCTTCTATGCTCTTGATGGTGTTCTGTCCTTGTCCTCCATCTCCTTTTGCTTTGTCATAGAGGCAGTCTCCCCAGCACGTGCCCTGGTTACCCAGAATGAATTTCCACAAAACACCTTGTCATCCTTCAGTTTGTGACGCACATTGCATCAAGATCTGAGTAAATGGGGGGGAACAAATCTGTCACTCTGCGGGTTTTATCATACTCACATTCAGCCAAAGTGTTGTTCATGAAGCATTTCTGACTGATGTACTGATATAATCACCGATTGTTAAAGTGTAAATGTTTAGGATCTAGATTGGAAATGTAGCCCATCTGAAAAAGCATCACATAAAAAGTCTGCAACAACGTTCTTAACACTTTTCTCCCACCTGTTACTGGGGATAAGAGTACGTGCAGCTCAGAGCATAACTGATATGTTTGAATTCCCCTTTGGAATTCCACTCATGATGAAGAAATGGCCAAAATAAAGAGGAAATAGCTGATAGTTAGCTTGGTTGGGCGATTAAAAAGCCAAAACAACCAAGGGTTAGCATAGCCTTCAGATACATACATGTGAATGTTCAAATGTGAGTCATGATGATGCGTACCTCAGTAGTTGTTGGGTAAAAATAATATCAGAACAATATTCTTCCTGAGTGATTTACATACAGTAGAATTATTTATTAACAGACAGAGATCGTCAACATTACTGTCACGTAACACACACTCTGGGGTCACCAGGGAGTAGTTGATGATGTCATTTTGGGCCATCTCTAGAGACCAGGTTGTAGGTCATGGTCTTTATTTCACCCATTTGATCAGAGACAGAGAGCAACAACAACAACAACATCTTTGAAATGCTTCGTGTGACAACACGCACTGTTAAAAATTTAAGATGTGGGAGTTTATGACGTCCACTGGGGGTTGGGGTAAAAATCGTTTGGCATTGCATCATGGCAGCATTACACGGTTGAAACGCTACAGGCTTAGGTTTCAGCCGCCTTGAGATTTAGTGGAGTAACTGTGTTACGTAACATTGCATGTGAGAATATTCTGGAAGGTAAACATGAGGCTGCTCTGAGCTTTTAGTCTCTCTGTGATTAGTCCCACACTTAAAACCTCACGCGGGCAGCATAAGGTCCCCAGGTTATCCATCCTATTAATAATGTCTGTAATCTTCCCACTCATGAAGATGTGAAAAAAAAACCCTGAAAATGCATTAAAAATCCAGTGTTTTGAAATTTAAGGCGTCGCTATTTACAGCTGAAGTACAGTAATACCCCCTGTATTGTGTCGGTTAGTGGTGGCTAAAAGACAGGTATGGGGGGGGGGGGGGGGGGGGGGGGGGGGGGGGGGGGTACTATTGAAAGACAACAGGACAGATCCATGTTTCAGTGGTGAATGTGTTGTTGGATCTGACCATTTTGAACATCCTTTATGTTTTCCGTTTCTTCTGATGCTATAGTTTCAACTCAAGCATATTGTCTTGACTCTGTCTTCCTGTGTTCTGATTGGTTCTTTAGATATGTTTAGGTAAGGAGTAGTTCATTTGTGGTTCATCACTGAAGCTGAGGATGAAATCGTTTGTCACTGAAATTTCCAGAATTAAAAAAGAAAAATATTCCCTAGGTTTTGGTTGCTGACGCGTGTCTGTGGCTGGGGGGAGTCCAGCAGGCGTGGGTCTGCATCCTAATGAGGAAGGGGGTGCACGGAGAATATCACGACAAGAATGACGTGGAGGAGGAGGAGGAGGAGAGAACTGGGGAGAGGAGGTGGGTGAAGGAAAAATAAATGCGAATGGGAGGGGAGGCAGCTGCTCCCAGTCAGTCCAGCCTCACACACACATAATAATAACCACAGGCACACTGGTGTTTGGTCTGGTGGTGGGGCACATCTAGTGGACAACAAAAAGACACACACACACACACACACGAAGAAGTGCTGGAGGTGGAGGTGGTGTCTGCTCAGAGAAGCTCTTTCTTTCATATCTGAAGGGAAATCCAACATCAGCCACAGTGGAGGTGACCGTCAGAGAAGCCCTGACCGCTCATTTAGGTAAGAGTGACATCACACACACACACACTCATTGATATGCAATGTTATTGTTTACATTCACTTTGACATGTGCGGTCATAAAGTCTTGTGGTCTATCAGCAGTTATCAATACTGGGAGACACTGCTGTAAAACCTGCAGTTGTTGATGTTGTTGATCAGGTCAATTCATAGTCTATTATCGACTCGTGACCGTCCCATCAGCCTCCATCCATCTGCACCTCTGGACCCCTCAGTGCGCGTCACGAAGTGCACTGTCCACCCGGCTTAACAGCACTTAATCTGTCATTAGGGTGCTATTCTCAGAGTGCGCAGCAGGAAGGCTACCTCACCAGCCTCCTGCTCCTGCCTGTGTTTGGTTACTTATCCGCTGCTGGAAACTTTGATCCTCCTCCTCCTCCTTCTTCTTCTCCTCCTCCTCTTGTTTCGTACTTCTTCTCCTCCTTCTCCTCCTCCTCTTGTTTCGTGTGGTGCAGATAGCACGGCGGTACTGGTGAGTCTGGGCAACCACGTCATGGAGATAGAACATTTCGACGAGCGCGACAAAGGTCAGAGGCACGGCCGCTCCGGCTCCAGGATGAACGGGGTACCCAGTCCTACGCACAGCGCCCACTGCAGCTTGTATCGGACCCGCACTCTTAAGACTCTGAGCGCGGAGAAGAGAGCCAAGAAGGTCCGATTCTACCGCAACGGAGACCGCTACTTCAACGGGATCGTGTACGCCATCTCCACGGACAGGATCCGGACATTTGACGCGCTTCTGGCCGATCTGACCCGCTCCTTGTCCGACAACGTCAACCTTCCCCAGGGCGTCAGAACCATCTATACCATGGGAGGCTCCAAGAAGATCACCAGTATTGACCAAATGGTAGAAGGTGAGGAAAAAACTAAATAATGTGGTGTTATGTCAAACCTAGTTCCTCAAATATCAGTTTGTTAAAGTTTCTAGTTACATTTAAATTAAAAAATATTTGGATAACTTGACATGGGAAACCCATATGGTGTCCCCGAGGGGGTTAAAACTGAGAACTTGTGTCTTAATAAATATTGCAGCACCTGTCAGCTGCTGTGTCACCTGTTGTCAACTTACCTAAACCATCAACCACAGCATAAAGTGACACCTGCAGGTCTAAACCAGTGGCGTCCGGTTTTCTTTAAGGACCAGAGCTTTGCACAGTAAACTGTCAACGTAGTTTCTGGTAGAAATATACTGTTTTTGATGAATGATTTTCTTTTCTTTACATCCAAATAAATAGCCACAGCGAGAATAAGACACATTTCTCTTAAATGTATCAGCTTTTGTCATGCACCATAATAAAATTCTGACTTTGGAATTGAAAGAAGTTATTGCGATTGTTTGTTTTTAGTCCAGGAATAGACCATAAAGTTCTCTACGTTAGAAGTGAGTAAACACAGTTAGATAAATGCCCAAAAGAAAAAATAACTTTGAACTTTGATATAAAAAAAAGACAAGGTAATAAAACACATAGAATGCCCAAAAGAAAAAAACATTTACAAAACACACAAAAAATAATTCAGAATGCCCCTAAAATGTTATATAAAGCCCAATGCCCCATCTTTGTTGTCAGGGCTTTATACAAAAATATATACAAGTGGGAACGAGTCCTCCAACTAAAAGTACCAAGATGCTGAAGGAACACTGTTGTGAAGCAGATATGAAATTCTACTTCCGTCCTGTTTTCTACAATTGTCCATCATGTCTCTGTCCCTCACATCATTTCTTCCCCCTTTAGGTGAGAGCTATGTGTGCAGTTCAACTGAAGCGTACAAAAAATTGGATTACACCAAGAACGTCAACCCCAACTGGTCAGTGACGGTCAAAGCCTCGGCCACAAACCCCCGTGGCCCGCCGTCCCTGAGCAGCACCAAGGGTGGCGCCGCAGAGAGCAGGGAAATCAAGGACTTCATCCGTCCGAAGCTTGTGACAGTGG